GTTGAGGGTAATTGTTAGTCCCAATTGATTCTTGCTAAAGTCACCTTAGAACAACTGACATTCTTCTTTATTTTACCTTGTGGAGATGGGAATAACTTTGTTTTCTTGAGGACAAGCAAACGCTTACGTTTGGAGGAATTGATAACTACGGATTCTAGCCTATCTTATGCTCTCTTTTGCTTAGGTTTTGGATCAAAAATGTGTAAAAGTATTCCCGAAAGCTAACTTATTGTGCTTGCTTGTAGGGTTTGGTCAAAATGAAGCAATAACATCATAACCAGCTCATAAGGGAGTTAAACCTGCACAAGTCCAAAGCTGAGTCAAAATAGATTTTTTTCAGATTTTTAGGGTATCTTTTGTACTGAAGAGCTTGTGAGCCGCCGTACTTAGCTATTTTAAGTAATTTTGGAGTAACTATAGTTATTAATCATAGATTTTATCGTTGTAATCAACATTTATGGCTTATATTTCATCTTCATCTTTGATTTCTACCTTTATTATGAGTAGCTAAACCCATTAGCTAGGGTTGTGACCCAACCCTAGTGTGGGTATTTAATGGGTCTTCTATTTTAGGGCTTAATTGTATATGGGTTAGTGATATTTAGCTTGTTTCATGCTTTAATTGTGGAATTGGTGGTTGCAAACACTGATTCATGCCTTTATGACTTAGACTCTTCTTGAGAAAGAGGGGACTAAGTCTAGGAAATTCAGGCTAACAAGGAATTGGTGTGCATTCAATATATTTGATAGCCTCAATTAAAGGGTTGAACCTATAGATAGTAATACCCGACTTGAGCCAATTTTACTTGTATTGTTTGAACACTCAATTAGGGCAAAGTCACTCAAACTGCCAAGAGGCATAGAGTGAGTAATTTTGTGTAATGGTTATATCACGACCCCAAATATAACAAGCTTGTCCTAAATTTTAGATCTCATTAGATACTCGCCTAGGTGTAAGTCACTTTCCTAGTGCTTTTTAAACTTGAGAAAACCTTACAAAACTATTGTACTTAGCTTATTTTTCAGCAATACTTAGCATTAAAATTAGAATAGAAACAAATCCAACATGTTTAGAAGTGCAATTAAAGACAACACACATAGCTATATTAGATAGAAACCCAACTCCAAACAAATATTAACTCTCTGTGGAAATCGATCCCCACCCTTCGGGTAAAAGCTGCCTCAACCACTCTTGCCATTCTATAGTGGTGTAGGGTTGGAGCCGACCAGTGCACCGTGAGAATTGCAGTCTGGATCATTCCATGGCACCGCTTAGTGATTCTTTCTTGCTGATATTTTTGTTGTGATTATGTGATTAAGTTAGTTACCTGTAAATCATGCTAATCACCATGTTAGGGCTTCACGCCGATACTGTTGAGACCTGAGTGGTCGTTTCTTATTGTCATATCATTAGTTTCATTGATACTCTGTACTCAGTCTTGTTCATGCATATCCTATTATGTCTCAGTCTCGGTTGTTATCATTTGGCACATCATATCATCATTTCAGGCTACTATTATAGCATTGTGAGCTCGTGTGTGTGAGACTAGATAGTGATGACTAAGTGAGGCCAAGAGCCTGATTATGAGTGCAGTATGGGATGGGGCTACACGCTGCACCAGAATATTGATTATGCCTTCATTGGCTTGTTATAGTGCTCGGGCTGAAAGGAGCCCCTCCAGAGTCTATATACCCCCAGTGAGCGCGGATGATATTATTGAGGGATGGATTACCCTAGACATGGATTTGTCCAAAGTATTGATACCTGGAGATGGATTTTTCCTCAGGGTTGGATTACCCTTATTCCTCGGTACCAGTTGACTTGAAGTCAGTGTTATATATATTTCGGGATGGATTTCCCTGGGCCGAATGGCCATATGCAGTACCGAGTGGTTGAGCACTTGAGAGTGGGAGCACATGGTGCATTTTCATATATTTCTGGCATTTACATGTAGAGATTTACTTAGTTTTACACTTCATATTGTTCGGACTAGTGTTTTGCTTTACTTTTGAGTTGAATAATTAAACTGCCAGCATGTCTACTTTACTGTTCCATTTAAATGTGTTATAACTGCTGAGGTTTAGTTCATCACTACCTATCAGTCTATAGTTTGGACTTGTTACATACTAAGTTGGTGTACTAATTTTCCCCATTGCACGTTGTGTGCAGATCCAGGTATCTCAGGCCACGGCAGTGGCTGTTGACTATTCTAGATACGGATTTCATCGGAGATAGTGAGGTAGATGCCTGATGTTCACAGTCCCACCTTTCTCCTTCTTTATCTACCCTCTAGTATATTTTGGATATTTTCAGACTATTTTGGTCTAGTTATGTTTTGAAACAGATGTAGTATAGCTCATGACTTAGTGACACCCGAGGTCGGGCGTTTTATTTTTCGCTTTTATTTAGGTTTTGACTTTACATCTTTTATGGAATTTCAACTGAAAATGGTATTATTTAAGATTTAAATGAAATGTTGAACTATTTTGGAAATGTGTCGGCTGGCCTAGTTTCACGATTGGCGCCATCATTACCGGGTCAACTTTGGAGTCGTGACATATACATTTACCTGTGCGCCCTCCAGTAAATCCAAGATATCCCTGCACAAGGGGAGATTATATCACGCCTCGAGCCTGGGGACGAGACCGGCACCCACTGCATATCTACCCTTGCGTACCACTTGCGACTACGAGACTCTGAACATGTAATGTCATACTTTGGTCACGGGCCACATTACAAGATAATGTACGATGCAAATATAAACTGAATAGAGACTAATGCTGACTAAATGTCAACATAAAGCTGGGCCGGCAAGGCCGTCAGAAGTACTACAACTGACATGCAAACAAAATATACATACAGGATATGGCTACAAGCCTCTACTGATGGATGTACTGTAATCTGAACAGGGCCCCAACCTACCCATATCATATCTATATATATACACAAAACTTCTAGACCCGGCAACTCCGAAGGACGGGGAGCTTACTGATAAAGCCAAACTCGGGTAAACGCCTACTAAGGAAGTCTACCCGTCTGTTTGTCTGAACCTGCATGCATGAAATGCAGCGCCCCCAAAAAGGACGTCAGTACGAAATAATATACCGAGTATATAAGGAAATATACTAAAAGTTGAAACTAAACTGATAATATAATAACTGAAAACAACTGGGAGGGTCAAAGATAATCTAAAGATATGCTCACCTGCTGATACTGACTCTATTCTCTCATTATAATAAGTAAAATAGTTGTCCGGCCTTACAAGGCTCGGTATATATATATATATAACTGCTCTGCCGTAGTAGGCTTGCTCATAGGCGCTCGGTCATACTAGGCTCCATATCTCGACCAACTGGGCTCGCTCATAGGCACTCGGCCATAGTAGGCCTGGTGTATAACTTATCATCTGATCAGAGGTTGCCCAATAGGGGCCTGCCCATCGATTATAGCTCGATGGTAATGAAAATAATTTAATACTGTATATATAAACCCTCTGCTCTCTTGACTGGAAGAAGAAAATACACAATTAAATATGAAGTCCCGATAATGAGAATATTGTAACTTACAAAACTAGGAAAATATACGTAATTTGCGAGACTAGCAAAATATACGTAAATTTCGGGATATGAATTTTTCTTTATGCCTCGTTATCAAACTTGTGTAACGACGAGATCATGCAAAATGAAGGAATAGCTTAGCCTTAACATACCTGGAGTAGGAAAAGATTTGTATGATGTTCTTGGAAAAAGTTGCATCGTACTTATTTAGAACAGCAAAATTTCTTCGTTGCTAAAACACTAAAAATCTTTGTTCGACTATTGAAGATTTACGCTGCTTTATGATAATCACGCTACTTAATACATAACATCTGATCTTTGGAGTGATGTTTTGAGAATGGGGGGTTGAAGGAATTAAGGTTTAACGTTTTGGTCTAGTTTGGTTGAAAGACTTTTGGTTAGGCAATTTCTTGAAAATGAAAGATTTTGTTATTTGATGCAACTTAGCAAGGAATGACTTAGTCATTCCTTTATAATATAGCTAGCTGCCACGTGGGGATGGGGTGGGATATTTAATCTTTATCCACTTATTAGGTAATTAGGTAATGTCCCGTTACCCGGTAATTAACTAATTACCCGTATAATTAAAAATTATTCCAAATTACTTAAAATTCTACTTATTTTAAATATACTTTATACATCATACTACTATGGTCATGTGGTACCTTGCATGGTACTAGTCCATAAGTATTGGGTATTATTACTCGACCCATAGTTTATTCCAATTCGACAACCTTTAACAAAACTCATTTTCTTTAATTCGTGTACCATTTCCTTCACGACACTTACTTATTGGTTGGTAATAATAGAATAAATATACTAACATCAAGGTAATCTCATCCTCGAGTCTACGTCAATTAACTGAAGATGAAACTTTAACGTACGAAAAATGCGAGATGTAACAGATTATGCCGAGCCTCATACTCACGCGTATAACCTCGCCGAAGAACCCACCTCCCTCCGTACATCCAGAGCTAATGGTGGTAGAGGTGGATGCAACTGCAGGAATCGCTCCGAAGCCCAAACCTAACATAAGAAGTTGACATAAAATTTAAGATATATTTTTACTAGGTATGTTAAAATGAATAGAGTATTAGATGTTGTCACCTGTAGTAGCGAAAAATTTCAAGCAATGTCACGCTGGGTGCCCATGCTTACCCGGCACATCTGCCTGTACAAGTAGGCAAGAACAGCAGCACCCCAGCTGTACTGGGGGGTAAATCATCTAGCCGCTCAAGATGATGAAGAAATCTCAAGCTGACTAGGTTCTCTGAAGTATTTGGGAACAATACCCCTCTAATCATAAGGAGTAGGAGCAACATTGTATACCGGTGAACATGATAATCCGGTGTATCGCCATCGATGTCAGGATGCAATTCCTCCAAATACTCTCGAATGGTCATCAACGAAAAACGATTGGTCCCAACCAGTACATTCTCCTCCTATGGCCGGAAACTAGTGAGCTGTTGCAGCATGTCTAGGTACTGCATACCTATCATCTCTCTCATGGCATACGGCAAAGCAACGGGGTGTCCACTAACGGGCAGCCCATATATAACCTTCACATCCTGCAGTGTGATGGTGGCCTCGCCAATGAGCAAGTGGAATGTGCGCGTCTCCGGTCTCCAACGCTCTATTAGGGCCGTGACCAAAGACCAATCAAGCTGTAGCCGCTCAATATCCAAAATCCTACGGAAGCCCGTATCCTGCAAGCATCTAACTACATAGGTATGGAGAACTTTGCGTTTCAGAAAGTCCCACGTGTCGTCCACTCTCCTGAAGCGGAGAGTCTCGGCTAGTAACTCTCCCTCCCATATGTGGACGGACCTATGATCGCCCTGTAACGACAGTAGCTCATCGCTGGAAGGTCCGGGATGAATAGGCGGCACCTCCATGTCGTCTACTGTAAATTAAACAACATTAATTACATGTTAGTTTTATAATTTTATATGTTTAATTATTAATTAAATAATTATTTTTTATAATTATATAATATTTAATTATTATGTATTCATATAAAGGTTCCAGGCTCGATATTTGAGGCCCAGTAGCACCAAGATATCCTGAATTCTTGTATGTGTTAGTTTTCTTATTTTACATGTTAGTTTTATAATTGTATATTTTTTTAAAAATTAAATAGTTAATTATTATAATTATACAATATTTAATTATTGAGTATTCACATATGGGTTCCAGGCTCGATATTTGCAGGCCAGTAGCACCAAGATATCCGGAAAATATTGTTCTTTTCTCATGTTACTTTCTTACAATAGTTGACTACAATTGGACAGAGTTTGTATTTGATTTATCAATTATTTTGATGTATTTTTGAATATAAGAGATACTTAAACTACAGGGATATTATGCTAAAAGGCAATACATTTTACTACCCTAAAAGAGCACTATATTACTAGTCTTTAAGCAAATAAATAATATAAATTAGATAAAAACAACAAATATATATAATCACAAAACATTCATGAAAATACATATACAACAGTAAAAAAAATTATTAACATTTTTTTAACAAATAATAACGTTTCTCAATTTTTGCAAATTTTTTTAGCACACTAATATCTAAGTCCGGATAAAAATAACGTACCAGTTTAATCGTAAAAAACATACAAAACAACATAGAACACATGTAAAACAACTAATATGCAATTTTTTTACGAGTTTCAACAAAAATTAAATCGGAATACCTCGATTTATGTTTTTCTGAAAGTTGAAGAATTGAAGATTTGAGTCTGAAACAAGCAACTCACAATGAGAGAAGGCCTTAGCTAGGATGTGGGACCAACACTCTTTACTTTTTGTGGAACGGGTGGGGTCCACTCGAGTTTTTTTTGGTCGTTAATGGGAGGGACTGCTGGAACGAATTTTAAAATGGGGGGGAGGGGGGAGGGGTTGCTTTCTGGTTTGAGCGTGGAGGAAGGAAAGGGGATAGGTATTTGAATATGTAAAGCGTGGTTTATTAAAGCGTTTTACATATAGCACTTTATCAAACCACATTTTAGATAAACATATTATCAGCTTTAGGTAAAGCGTATTTTGAAAATGCGTTTTACATAAACGTGGTTTTAAAACGCGTTTTACCTTAACATCCAAAACGGTCGTTAAAGTAAAGCGCAGTTTAAAACTGCATTTTATATAGTTTGGTCACTAATTTTTTTCCACTTATTTCGGTCTTTTGAGTCAAAAAAGACCACAAATAGGTCTCGGACTCGTGGGTTGAGGGCATTGTGTCACAAAAGACATATACCGAGTGCACATGGTGCGAACATTTGAAGGGCCGATGCGAGGCCCGTTCTCATGGTGAGATTTCCCTTCCTGAGTGAATAATACTTTGGTCTTTTTTTTGTTACCGAGTTCTTATTTATTTCATTTCCCTTTGCAGGTCTTTCCATGGATATTGTAATGAGTCCTCCATCCGGTGACGAGGATAGCCTCGCCGAGTTCCCTGCTCCGTGACAAAGTGAGGAGAAGAAGAGAAAAAGGGCTCCAAGTTCTCTAAACTCGGAGAAGAAAAAAACGAGGAGGAGGCTAGAGCGCAAATCTAATGAAAGCACCAGTTCCCGACTACCATCATCGGACTCTCCCTATTGATTGAGGGACGAATCCAAAGAAGAAGAAGAAGAAGAAGAAGAAGAAGAGGAAGAACGCCTCTGAACTGGTAGCTCACGTGTTGTCGCAGTTTGAGGGAGAAGGAGCCTTTGAACTAGGAAAGGAAAGGTCGGTCTGCCTCAAGCCACGGAGGCTGACGAGGTGGCCGTGACCGAGGCTTCCAAACCAGAGAGAGGCAAGGTCATTTTGCCTCAAGCAAGGGAGGCCGACGAGGAAGCCTTGGTTGGGGCTTCCCGGGCAATGGACAATGACCTGAAGGATGCACTCGGTGTGATAGATATCTCCGAGTCGCCTTCGTTTACTGAGTCCATGTTGAATGATGCTCAGATGGTGAAAGAGCGACTCAACGAGGGGGCTCAAGGAGCGGAATACCCCCATCCGCAGCATTTTTTATGGCGTGGATTCTGCCACCACGAAGGATGTCACCGGATTGGGTAACTTAGAGGTTCGGAGGAAGAGTCCATCTTCAAGACTAAATGAGCCTTCCTTGAGTCCGAAACTAATCAACCGGTTCCCAGCTCCAAGTGTGGATCCTGATCAGAATCAATCGATTTTTATCTCGATTTTGGAGGATGCCCCGTGTCCTGTCTGTTCCCGTAGGGGTAGCCAGTCCTTTAGTACTTGGTGACAGAGGAAGACCTAGCCAAGATAAATGATATGGAAGCGCCCTACCTGTTCAATGAAGCTCAACAAGGGTTAAACCGAGTAACTTTAGATACCTCGTGATGACTTCTAAGTTGTGCTTAGATCAATTTAAAGATGATCATAACTTTTTTCTCTGTGTTTGTAGGCCTCGATGCTTTATCATGAGACTTTTCTCTGGTATCGGGAAGAGTTAAACCAATATGAGGCCGAGATTCGAGGGCTGAGAGATGCTTACAAACTTCTCAGCGAGAACCGTGGAGGGGAGGCTAAGAGCCTCTAAGCTAGAGGTAGCTCGGAAAGAGCATGTCGACCTAGTCGAGTGGGTAAAAAGAGTATTTGAGGTTAATAACAATGAGTCAAACACGGTGACTAACAGTCCGAACCCGCAGGTCCAATAGAAGCTTGATCAGATCGAGCAGCTCTGGGTAGAGGTGGATGTGGTAAAGGCCAAGGCTAAAGAATAGAAAAGCAACATGGACTGCTTAGCCTCGAAAAAGGAGACTGCCCCGGCACAATTGGCTTCGGCTGAGGTCCAACTTTGAGTTATAATAGAAAAGGCCTTAGTGCAGGCCATAAATATTGAGGATCTCCAGTCTTTGCTGAGTTCGGCCCTCTCCGATCAAGAAAATCTGGCCAAGGAGCTTAAAACGGTCAAGTCGGAGGCCGAGGTGGTTAAAGTCGATGTCGATGAGATGGTGGAGGCTGATGCTGAGGCAGCTCTGGTTCAAGCAAATGATATCATCGAGTATGCGAAGTGGCACCTCAAGGAAATTCATGCTCGGGGTTTCGACTTATCGGCTGAGACTAAGAGTGATAAGGAGATCGAAGCCGAGGCCAAAAAATTGGCCTATCCCAAATATAATGAAGATTCTGAAGATCTGGACGAGTCCGAGGGTGGAGGAGACACTGAAGGTCCTGGTGATGAGGTGGGCTCCGGTGAAGACCAGGCCGTTTAAATGCCTTGTACATTTTTTTCTTTGTTTTTGTATCTTTGTACTCGTGTATTATTCTTTTCTTTGAGGTCGTTTGGCCTTTGTAAAAATTCGTATTGAGGTCGTTTTGGCCCTCATAAAAATCTTTTGATACATATATAAAGCTCTTTTCCCTCCAGCAATTTCTGACTTTTTTCCTTTGCTTTATTTTTATGTTTGCAAAGATTAAAATGCCTTAGCACGAAATAGTTACGCTATGTTCGGAGGTTCGAACAAGCCTTGCCTTTAACATTATTTTTTTTAAGGAATCGTGGGGGTTTGGTATGATTGGAAATTTTTCCCCAACGTACTTATACTCTTTTCGATTATAGTTTGCTGAGGGTAGCCTTTAGAACCGATTAAGAAATTTTAAGGCCTTAATTTTTTGTTATGGGTCTCGGATGTCTCCGAGCTATTTTAATATGGCTATCTTTTTAGTTTGGGTGATGCCCAGTTGTCTTGTCATGCCGAGTTATGTGGACTTTCCTAAGATAACTATCCTCGAGTGGGGATGGTCGTAGCGTTTAAAATTCGGGCGTTGGCTAATAGGTCTTGTGCTAACGCTCAGTATCCCAGACCGTCTGAGCTTGTTTTTGGACGGTAGTCCCCGAGTGAGAGTGATTGGTCAAACTCAGAGTAAGGTGTCCCTTGGGCTCGATACCTTTAGGGGATCGGATGTAGGAAATTATTTGGAAAATACAAGAAAAATTTTAATGGACAAAATACTTATCTGCAGGGAAGAGACTTCTTTTTATTCTTGTGCATAATAGTTATACATGTGTACATGCTTTGTGTCGGGGCTCGAGTAGTCTATGTGGGCACGGTTCATTTGACTGTTTGACCCTTACAGTAAATCTTATCGATCAAGACAAGATTGTTCAATCATAAAGTCCCCATCCTTGCTAAAGTCGTTATCCGAGGGTAATGCCCCTAGTGTCCGAGGTTGATCATAGAGAAGCCTCGCATACTATTGATGACACTTATTCATGATTGGCCTTCGATTCTAAGTTAGCACGATCCACTGTTGCCTCGTTAAGAACCTTTTAAAAACCCCATTTGGGACAAAACCAGTTCAAGGGAAATAGAGTGCAACATATGCTTTTCGGCCTAAAAATTCTACCTTTCCTTGATGGTTACCTGCAAGTGTTATTTAAAAAATAAGTAAAAAGGAATGAATGGGGTCGTACCTTAGCAGTAGTATCGCTTCAAGTGAGTTATGTTCCATTTATTCAGTAGTCGTTCACCGTTCATTGCCCCGGGTTTGTACCATCCTTTTTCGGTGATCCCGATATTTTGATACGCCCCTTCCCAATTTGGCCCCAGTTTCCCCTCGTTGGGATTCCGGGTGCTTAGTGTGATCTTCCTTAGCACCAAGTCCGCGACATTGAAATATCGAAAATTGGCTCTTCGATTGCAATACCTCTCGATTTGCTGTTTTTGGGCAGCCAATCGGATAAGGGTTGCTTCACACCTTTCATCTAATAGCTCCAGGCTAGTACTCATGGCCTCGTAGTTTGATTCCTTGGTTGCATATCAGAATCTGACAGTTGGTTCCCCGACTTTGAGCAGTATTAGAGCTTCGGTGCCGGAAACCAGCGAGAATAGGGTGGCCCTGGTACTGGACTTTGAGGTCATACGGTATGCCCATAACACTT